GAACCTTTATACGTCGGCGTACTACCCTCTGACGAACAGCCAGGTGGAACGCTATAACCAAACGATTGCGTCGATGCTCCGCAATTACGTGAACGAGCATCAAGACGACTGGGACGTGTACGATGGACCGTTAACGTACCCATATAACTCCCACGTACACAGAACCACACGAACGACCCGTTTGAGTTCGTGCTTAGCCCGCCTCCGCCAGAGTTTTCTCTTCGACGAACAGGCGGGGACACACCCCCTTCCGATAGGGGAACGGAACGTGCGGAGTTCTTGAAGACCCTAGACGCGACCATCCAGAAGGCCTACGGGAGCTTGCGACGCACACAGGCACGTTACACACGCGACTTCGATAAGCGCGTTCGAACGATCAACACGCGTCTCGAGCCGGGTAACTTCGTCTACCTGAACCCCATGCTCGCGGACACCATTGCGTTGGGGGTGTACACTACCGCTTGGTTGTCCTCGTGCAAGAGCAGTTGGCGGACGCGGGATCCTGAGACGTATTCGGCAAAGTGTCGATGGAGAAGCAGACGCACGGCGCGGAGCTCTTTCAAATTAATCGACTACGCTCCGTCCTCCGCGTTCCAAAAACCACGACCATCCCACAAACCCGGCAATCCAGCGCCCGTTTCCAAACCGAGAGTGCCTCCATACCCGACGTCGGCTGCGTCCCTGTGCATGGTGAGGTGCGGGTCGGGCCTGACGAAATCTCTCCCCTCTCCACGAGTGAGCGAACGCCAGTAGCGCAAGTCGCGCAGGGATTAGCGGCAGAGGCGAACTTTTGATGAACGCGGCCGTCCCCCAGCCTCTCCATGCAGCGTACCGTTCCCGGTGGCTTCGCCGCCGAACCCCCACTAGTGGCTCCATTCCCCGCCGGGGGCTCGGCCCCGGACCCCCCCGGAGCTCTGTGCAGCGTGCTACGGGGGGGCGAGCTTCGCGCGCAGCAAACCCGCCCTTCGTACTTGGCCCTCGCTCCTTGCGCTCCACTCCAGTTCCAGTCTCTGTTGCCCGCTTCTCGGCCAGGCTCATGTCAAAGGAGATCGACCGAGTGTAGAATCGGGCGTGCGGGAGCGCGAGGGTTAGCGATACACAGACGCCGCAAAAATGTCGCAGTAGTTCCATCGACACAAGGCGGCGGTTCCGTTGCGCCAACAGCAGTCTCCTTTTGGCCAAAACCCTCACGCGCGCCACTTTCTTGTCGGAAACATACAAGCGCATCTCGTCGGTGTCGATGTGCACCCTGAGGTGGTCTATCCTGGGGCTCCCCTCCCAACAACCCTTCATCGGGTGCCTCTCAATCCCCAGGCGCTCGAGGAGCCGCCCAAGTCTCCGCCGTGCACGGGCACAGTCCTGCGGACCTGATTCTCTTCCGAAAGGTGTGGGCGCTGTCAAGAAGTCGTCGATGTAAGGGAGATCCCGAAACTTCATCCTCTCTCTGATGTACTGAACCAGCGGCCGCAACAGCTTCCTAAACCAGAGCACTGAGCCACCCCATCCAAATGGCAGAGCGATTCAGCGTTATACCCCACCATCGTACCGAAAGAGGAAGTAGTCGCGCACATCTGGGTGCACATAGAAATGTCGATACCCGCTCTGTATGTCCCACGACATTAACATATCTCCCCTCTGTGTATCCGCGGCAAAGGAGGGTATCGTTCCCATCTTGATGCTCCCCCGCAGCCAGTGTTTGCCCTGCCGATGCAAGTTCACCACGAACCTTCCCTTCCTGTCCTCCCCCTCCCGTTGCCACACGGTGAACGCCGAAGATATCATCTTCCCCTCCCGCATCTTCTCGCCCGCCTCCTCGGTGCTCACCGCTCATGGATCCCAACCGGACACCTCTTCTCCAGATCGGCCCTCCCGAAACACTTGTCTTCCTCCGATTGGGGGATCTCTCTTAGTACGAGCCCTGTAGTGCACTGTACTCGGTACCGGGACAGCTGTCCTAATCTCGCCAAAATCGCTCTCGCCGCTACCACATGAACCACGGGTACACGTGGACACCTCTGCCGCTCTACTGGACCTCCCCGTGGACACGTGTAATCCCTCCGCAACCCATTGGGCCTATGGGGGCTGTACTTGGTCCCCTCGGGGCTACACCCGTTATTTCCTAGTTATTCTAATTTACAGTATAATTTAGCTTCGCCATTACGGCGACGGGGGACTATATAGTCAACCCGATAATCAAAGTAAAGAGGGACGAAGCCTCGGGTCTTTTACCTTGGTTTCTAGATCCGAGGTTGTAGCCTCGACTCGGTACTGGCTCGCCCATACCGACCGAGCCATCTACATCCCTGGAATCCCAACTGCCTTCCCCGCGCGCGTCGACCCAACCGCGCGAGCGCTACGTTAACTACTGTGCTGTCCGTTCTGTTAGTTCTGTTTTTCCTTTAATTATTCCTCTTTATTGCTGACTCTAGTTCTACCTTTATACCGCGCAAGCCGCGCCCGGATCTCGGTTCCGGTCATCCACCGGGTGGTCTCCCGAATTCCCTTACGCGTACGAACGCGCGTCGCTCTGCCTACAGCCGCCACACGTGGCTGTAGTGCACGACAGGCCCCTCTGTAAACGGCTCGGTTGGCAAGTCGCGAATGCCAAACCGGATAGCTCGCACCTGGTATTCTGAAGCCCCGAGTTCTGAGGGCCAGGCGCCGGACCTCAAAGACGTCCTCCTCGACAAAGGTTGTCCCCCGGCCACCCTTGTAGGACCCTCTGCCGGGTGGGCCGTCACTCTGACTGGGGAGCCCCGGAAGAACTCCCCTGAAGGTTGCGTCCACTGGCCCTCTCGAGTCGAGACTTCGCCAGCTGTTTCGCCGCCTCCACCTCCAACCTGGAGGTGAGGTCTTCTCGTGCCGTGCGGTAAGAGTCGGAGAAGACCGCATCATGGCCCTGTTCGACAAGAAGGACATCTGGCTTCTACTCCCTGTTCTGTGGTGTCCCGGAAGTACTGTGCCCTCATCGACAGGACCTCTACAGCCGCCCGCATCGATTCTTCAGCCAGCCTGGGCCTCCTTCCCATGTCTTCCAAACTTCTTTCTTGATCTATGGCCACCGTCATGGCGGCCAATCCCAGTTCCGTCCAAACGCCGGCGGCTTTTACGTACTCCCATTCTTTTCCGGATCGCCCGTCCTTGGACTGGAGATCGGCGAGAAACGCGTCCTGAGGAGGTTTAAAATAACCCATATGCGTAACGAGCATGTGTGGGCCCCTCTCAAAGACGCTTCTCTCGCCTACCAACTTCGAGGAATTCAGCTCGGTGACAACCACCCCGTAGTCGCGGCGCGCCGGCTTCGCCGTAGCCCAGGTGGCCCGCAGTGCAGCCGGCGGTGCGGCGGGGGCGGGGTTGTCAGTCGGTCGTGCCATGATTCCTCGGCGGCACGCTGTGTATGTCGGGTAGAATTCGTCGCCGCCCGGAGTGGTGGGGGAATTTCTCAGAGAGAATAGACATGCCGAGGGACAGCGGCGATCGCGGCGACCCTGGGCGCTGCGCTTATATGCCTCCAGGTCGCTGCAGTGCGACGCTCGGCTGACTGGTAGCCCCTTACACCCGCTTGCTACTCCTTGGTGGGTCTCCACCCGCATACACCCTGGTGTACACGAACGCCATTGAGTTCCACCCATCGCTGTTTCGACCAGTAGGGTTGTCCGTAAAGTTACGAAAACGCGTGTTTTGGCGGCGTGTTTGCCCGTATTTTCTAAACGCAAAAATTTTCAGACAACACGTTTGGCAAAAACTCACAGCATGCCGAAAACTGGGGCCATGTGAGTTTTCCACAAGTTTCACATCCGCCTGATCACAGCAGTGCCGGATCGACCCGTCTTGAAGGAAAACGAAGTGGGTTTTCCGCACTTTCAGCAGCACAAATGAGTCTCAGACTGCACGGGTCGTACCGGTTGGCGTCATGGACGCCCGTATTGTGTCATCTGCGCAGAGTCTATCAAAGGATCAAAGCGCGACAGGATCTGCCACAGATGCCGTCGAAGCAACTGCGAAAGATAGACACGTAGAAGCTTCTAAAAAGCGGTCCTCTCCAAACGGCCCCCCTCAGCCTGTCAAGAAGACGAAACACATCGCCCTTGCGACCGAGAACCTTTCTATCCTTGTGGCGAGCTACAATATTCGCTTCAGCGAGTATTCGAGCAGGTGCACGTGATCCGTCGGGCGGCACAACGATGTACCAGACTTGCGTTTGTTGCGGGCTGGTGCCATTCGAAGGGAACCTCGATGGAGGTCGGTCTGCAAAACTCGTGGAATTTTTCAATCTCGGGTTTAGTTTACGTCCAGCGAGTTTGTCGACAAATGGAAAAAACAACGCGTTATTTTACGGACAACGTTTCTGTATGACTGAAAACGGGCAAAAAAATCTCGCCACTTGGGCACTTGGCTCCACGCAGTTGGCATGGAGAGTAATGCTCGCGTCTCCATCGCGAGATATATCCAGTTGACGGCAGGCTCGAGGGTTTGGCACACTGCGTTGTACAAACAGGCGATAAGATCACGCGCCTAGGATTCATTATGAAGAGCGAGCGATGGGAGATTGACAGCGGCGGAGCTCTCGTTGGCTCGCGATAAACAGCAACCGATCTGAATCGATGGCAACCACTGATGGTACCCAACCCGTGTGCGAGAAATCTCATTAAGTCTTGACACAGTACAGCATCCTGAAACATAATCGACAGCCCATGCTAACGTTCGTCACTATGGCATTTCACATTCCCCTTGCATTCTATCTTGGGTCTGGCATAAGAAAATAAGTCGACGCACCGCTGGCAGCCGGCGATCTATGTAACCCCCGTGCAGCTTCTTCCGCTCCCCAACGTTGGCTCCATCACTCCCTCAAGCGTGCCCACAACTTTTTCACTATGCTTCGACTCACTTCCCTTCTCCTCCTCCTCTCTCTCAGCCTCTGCTCCCTTGCGCAGCCAGGCCACGACTCTGGGCCGTCCAGTTTCACCCGCAAAAAGTATGTCATAATCAGCGGTAAGCGCATGGCCTACGTGGAAGTCGGCATTGGCGACCCCATTGTCTTCCTGCACGGCAACCCGACCTCCTCGTACCTGTGGTACAACATCATGCCCCTCCTCGAAGGCAAAGGGCGTCTCATCGCCCTGGATTTAATCGGCATGGGCGATTCCGATAAGCTCGACAATATCGGCCCGAACCGCTACACTTTCGTCGAGCACGGCAACTACCTCTTCCCGCTGGTCGAGGCCATCGGCGTGAAGGAGCGCGTCACCCTGGTCATCTATGACTGCGGTTCCGCTCTAGGCTTTCCGTGGGCGTACTACAACCGCAATAATCTCAACGCCGTCAAGTCCATCGTGTTCCTCGAGGCTATTGTCACCCCCTTCCTCTCGTTCAACAAGCCTCCAGACGGCACAGAGGACTTCTACCGCGTGAGGAGCCCGGCGGGCGAGAAACTGGTGCTGCAGGAGAACTTTTCCTCGAGGAACTTTTCTTTGGTAGAGGAAAATTCAGCGAAAAGGATAAAGCGGTGTATCGCAGGCCGTATTTGAAACTGGAAGAGTCGCGTAGGCTAATGCTGACGTGGCTGAGGCAGCTTCCCATCGGTGGTAAGCCGGCGGATGTCACCGCACTGGCCGGTGCGTACTCAAAGTGCCTCGAGAAGGCAAAGATTAGGAAGTTGTTCATTAACGCCAAGCCTGGCGGCCTTTCACGTTTTTCCAGGCCGGTTGTGCGGAAGTGGCCTATGCTGACGGAAGTTACGGTTCCGAGGTTTCATTTCCTACAGGGGTCGACCCCTGGCAGAATCGGCCGGGCTATTAAGAAGTGGTTGTGAATTGTATAAGAATGGGTTGTGGCAGAGCTGCTGCCTGTGTGATATTATCGTTAACTAAATGATGGACTGTGAGGTTATGTTCAAGTGACTTCACAAGCAGTTCATCGCAAGAACGGGAACGTGGCACAAATAGTAATGTTGTCCGTAAAATAACGCGTTGTTTTTCCATTTGCGCACGAACTCGCTGGACGTAGAGTAAACCCGAGATTGACAAATTCCACCACGAGTTTTGCAGACTGACCTGCAGCAAGGTACAGTTGTAAAATAGTTGCTTGTCATTCCAACAGAGAGCGTATGTTGGTATGGTGCAGGAACGATAGCCTCGTCTTTACTCGTGATCTGTCTTCCTCTACACTAAGTCTAGCGGTCTCACTCCGTCGTCAGTGGATCGTGGTGCGTGTATGATGTGTGCTATGGGTACACGTGTATGGTTATCATCACCGATGGGCATGAGCGCCGCAGCGACTGCGCTGCTATGGGTATCATCACACTCCCCCCGTCGCTGTGGTGCGATGCCTCGTGTGCTCTTTGCATGGGGCAGGGGGTGTGGGGGTGCAGACTTTTAGCTGCTTTGTGAGTTTGATGAATGGCGCGGGTGTGAGAGGCTTTGTGAGGATGTCTGCGAGCATGTCGTTGGTGGGGATATGCTTGATTTGGATCGCTTTTTGTTTCGTTTGGTATGCGAGATAGTGGTGGCGGAGGTCTATGAACTTCGGCGTTTCGTGGGGCCACTGTTTTTGTCTACACGTATGGCCGATTGGTTGTCGATATGGAACGGGGTTGGTCCTGGGGGGAGCATGTTAATGTCTTTGAGGAGTCTTTGTATCCATGTCGTCTATTGAGCTGCTGCTATGGCAGCTATGTATTCATTCTCACATGTTGATAGGGCTGTGATTGTTTGCTTCATTGATCCCCAGCCCATTGGCGTTTCGTTGTAGAGATGGACCATTCCAGATATGGATTTCCTGTTGGTGACATCCGCTGCAAAATCGGCGTCGCTGTACGTTTCGAGAAGGCTGGGGAGAGCGGTTGTGTTTGCGTTGTGTTTTTCGGCTTTTTAGAGCACTCCATGGTGCTGTGTGTGTTTGAGGTATCCAATTATCCTTCCGAGGGCGTTCCAGTGCCGGGTGGTGGGGCTTTTGGCTGCGACTGATAGCCTATTTGCCACGAAGTATATATCTGGTCAGGTTGAATCTGCTATGTATCTTATGTCTCCTAGCAGCTGCTGGTATATCTTTGTGATTTTTGGCATTGGTTCGTCATCCTCTGTGGGTCCGTGGAGTGCCGTGTTGCTGTTTTATGGTGTGGGTTTGCTGTTGCACATGTCCATTTCTGCCTTTTTGACCACGTACTGTATGGCGTTGGGTTGTGACGCGTGGATCGCTCCGTCTGGGAATTTTTTGATTGTCCATCCTAGGAGTTGTGCTGGTTCCCCAAGTTGTTCGATGTTGTATGACGTGGTGAGGATGACAGCAAATTTTTTTTGGAGCTGTTTGGACGTGCTGATTACCGTGAAGTTGTCCATGCTAACAGATATAATGATTATGCGGTGGGGTGTGCGTCGGTGAAACAGGCACATGTCTGGTTCCGATTAGGTGAATTTGTGCTGGTGTATGAGCTTGAAGACCGCACTGAGGTATGTCTGTCCTGCTCCTGGGGTGCCGTAGATAATTTTGTAGAGCTTTCCCACTTTGTGTTGATGTTTGAATGACCCGTCAAACCTCGGGGGTTGGCGTACGTATACTGGTTCGCGTCCTGAGTGGTCGAACTTCTCATGGAGGTAGGCTGCTTTAATTTCAATATGCTCGATGTGCATGTTGAATGATGCCGCCAATGCAAAGAGGAGGCGGACAGTTGTTTTGTCTGCTATGTATGTTGTCGTTTTCTCAGGGTCGAAGTGTACGTGCGGTATCATTTTGTTCCCTCTCGCCGAGCATCGTGCCTTTCTTTCGGTGATCTCCCCTTGTTCGTTTCTTTTGTAGCGGTACCCCATGGTCAGCGGTATTGGTTTGGTCTGTTTGGGGATTTGTGTTGAAGGTAGCCATAGCACAACTTTGTTGTTGTCCAGACTGTCGAGCTCTTTGTTGTGGGTCTTTTCTCATATGTGTGCATCTGGGTAGTTTCTGGCCTGGCCGTGGTGCATGGGGGCAGGGGATGTGGCATTGATTTATTTTGGTGTTGGCTGGGGTATGAATGTCTTAAAGAGGACGTAGACGTTGTGTGTACGGTCCAACTCTTTGTGGTATGCCTTAAAATCAACGGTTCGGATGCGTCGTGTCTTGCCATCATGTGTGTTCATGACCATGACGTGTTGAGGGTCTGTGGCGCAGAGGTATCGCAGCGTGAGTGCTCGTGCATGAGGCTTGCGTACCAGTGTTTTCCTAGTGATGTGTGGGACGTGTCCCAATTGTCCAAAGATCACGTATTAGGGTACAGAGGGTTTGTGGACATGCCATAAAGTGGTCGGGATTTATTCGGTGCCCAGATGGAGAATGGGGTTGTATTTAAATGCCGCGTCCTTTATTTTGTCTTCCCGGTGGTAGTCCGGCAGGCCGCTGTGGTGGAGTGACGCCCGTGCTACGTTCATGATTGTGCGATTTAATCTCTCTGCAATTCCATTTTCTTGTGCGTATAGGGGACCGTGGTGGTATGCTGTACACCGCTGGCTTTGTACAGTTCTTTGGTGTGATTTGCTACGTACTCTTTTGCATTATCAGTGTGTAGTTTACGTGGTTTTGGGTACTGTCCTTTGTTCAGGTGCGACAGGACATTGTCGAGGTGATCTGGGGCTTGGTCACGTTTTTAGAGGAACGTGATAATGAGGTATCTAGAGTTGGTGTCTATGACGGTCATAAAGTATTGGTTGCCTCGTCTTGATGGTGTGGGGAATGGGCCACATATATCGCTGCTGAGGGCTTCTCCCCTCTTGTATCGGTGTTGCTTTCGACGGTGGCGGGCAGGGTGGAGTTTCGCTTTGGCACAGCTTGTGCATGTTACTATGGGGGGTGTCTTGGCAAGGGCTTTGGGGAGGTTTGGTATGAGTTTCCGTTTTGCCATTTGCTGGAGCGTGGATGGTCTGATGTGGTTGAAGACCATGTGCCAATGGTGGTGCTCATGCCGTGTTTTGGCATTGACTGTGTCAGGGGGGTTGGGGCAGGGTTGTGCTGCCACTGCATTGGGATTGGATTTCCGATTGTGTGGGGTAATAATTCGCGGGGGTGCTGCAGTGCGTGAGGGAGGTGCCGCCGTTGGTGGTGCATGTGGCGTAGTGGGTTGTGGTGGCATTCTCCTTTTTTTCTTTGTCGTCTGGTGCGGCATTACTCTTGTTGCTAGTGCGTAGGGGTTGTGGTGTGCTACATTGGGGTTGTATAGGCCTTTTTCTGTACTGTGCGGTGGCTACAACTGCCGGGGGTTTTGATTTTGTGTTGATCACATGTGCTGTGTTGGAGTAGAATGTGACAGCTCCCCACTGTGCGGCTATATCATGGACGGATAGGAGGTTCTTTTTGATGTGCGGGTTCGCGATGGCTGGTAGGTTAAGCCATTTGT